CTGACCAGTTTGAAACGTGAGAATGCTCACGACAAAACTAATTTTGGCACAGAGCCTGAATTGAATTGAATTATTTTGCTGAATGGAATTTATTTTATTAATAGTTTTGCTAACATGAATTGAAATGTGCTTTAGACATTAGACTATGATGTATCGTTTTACTACACTCTCCACCATTATTTTAGGTATCTCATGCCCCTCAGGAAGAGCAGCTGTTAAATTAGCAATGTCAGATGTGGATCCAACAACAATTACCTTGTAACATGTCTGCAATGTAGGGAACATAGAGTTTGATGCTTATATTATTTTCCAAGAGTTTTTTCAACATTTGACAATATAACATCAGGTGTGAAAAGTGCTTTTGCTCACGTTCAAACATGATCTATGTTATGTTCATCTAGACCTGCCAACAAGTATACTGCTTTGAATTTTACACAAAGGCAATAGGTGGGAAGGTGTTCCAACACATGGTTCCTGCAGCAGTAATGGGACGTGATCTGCTCACCTCTCTGTCCGTTGATTCACAAGCCCCTCGCTCCGTAATCTGGGTGGTGGCTGACTTTCACAGCATTGTTCCAGGCCTCCCATACTCTGCCATTTTGTTTCCGGTGCAGAAAAGGAAGTCCTGCCTGCAGCTGTTCCCAGCACTGTGAACTAAAGAGCTTTGTAGGCACAAACAAACACACACACACACACACACACACACACACACACACACACACACACACACACACACACACACACACACACACACACACACACACACACACAGAATACAGCATCCTCTTCCTCCATGCTTCCGCTCAGCCTGTTTCAGGATGCCCCTCTCTGATTTGAAGATGACCCCCAGGGGATGATGGGATGAAGCCAAAAGCACGTCTGCTTTCCTTTCGAAGAAAAAAAAATGGCTATACGTGAGTTTAAAGTGTGCAAAAGTGTTCAAGAATATTGCAACATGGAGGTTATTTTGTACAGCCTTAAATACAAGTCATTTATGTGTTTATACAACAACAAAAAACGAACACATGTAACTTAAAACCTATACTGTAATCAGAAATGTAATTGAGGTCTTTGTTGGAAGATTATAAAGGTTGTGTGGTTTATTTAGGTTGCGTTAACCTGTAAGTATTACCCCAACCTGTCCTTTATATCACTGTGATTCTTTGTTTTAAAGCAATGTCTTTCCCATGTGAGAATTTAACCCTTACGTTGCGTTTGACCCGTTTCAAGTTCAAATGATATAATAACTACGCTCTAGTTTTTTTATCGGAACAAGGCTTCATGATATCCTCCTTGTGGAGGATATCATGAAGCCTTGTTCCGATAAAAAAACTAGAGCGTAGTTATTATATCATTTGAACTTGAAACGGGTCAAACGCAACGTAAGGGTTAAATTCNTCGTCGGGTCAGAGCGAGAGGTAACCAAATCGACCGGTCGAGAATTCAACTAATTATAAAACATAACCGATTATGTAGACTTAACACAGTCTCTGACAGTGCGGTCCGGCCTAATTGGGGTATACGCCGTGGACCCGTTCGACGGTCCCCGGGAAAAACAGAAGAAAAAAAAAAGCCGGTGTTGGACGTGAGTTAGTATGGAACAAAATTTTACGTGTGAGTGGAAAGCGGGTAGTTTATTGTGTCGAAAAGGTATCGCTAGTTTAATGACATCCGAGGAGACATGACATCAGAGTTGATACCATGCAGCCGAGTCCTTTTACCCTCTCTCTCACCCACACACACCAACAACCACACACACCAGCACACTAAACAATACAACCCACACCCACAACAAAACCAACACACACAACCAACAACAACACACAACAACACACACACACAACACACAACCACACAGACACACACTTCTCTCTTCTCTGTCGCTCTTTCACACCACACAACACCACACACACACAACAACAAACACACACAAACAACAATACACACAACACCACACACACCAACACGCACCACAAAACACACCACACACCACAACAACCAACAACACACCACCCACAACACCACACACACACACATACACAACACACACCACTCTCTCTTCGTCTCTCTCTCTCCTCTTCTAATCACTACACACACACCCCAAACCAACAACCACACCAACAAACACACACACAACACCGACACAACACACCACACAACACACACACACAAACACAAAACAACAACACACACACACACACACACACACACAAACCACACAAAGCACACACACAACACAACAAAAATCCTTTCTCATACCAAACCACCACACCACAACAAACCACAACAGAACACACAACACACACAAACACAACATAACAACAACACAACACCACAAACACACCAACACACACCACAACAACACACAACCACCCAAATACTCTCTCCTACATCAAACACCACACCACACCAAACCACCAACACACAAACACAACAAACACACAACCACACAGACACACCAACCAAACCCAACATACAACACACACCACACCACACCAACCACACACACAAAACAACCCACAACACACACACACACACACAAAAACCCAACACACACACAACACACACACACAACACACAAACACACACCAACAACACACACACACCACAACACACATTAAAAACACAACACAGACACAAAACTGTACACAACACAGGACACAAATACTTCACACCCCACCCAGGAACACAACTTCTCACCACAAACCTCTCACACACCACAAACAACAACAACACCACACACCAACAACCACACACACACTTCACCACACACCACACCACACACACACAAACCACACAAACACACAACACACCACATTACACAACTCTTCTCAACACCAGCACACAACACAAGAACACCAAAAACTTTCTCACCACACAGCACAACTTCTTTCTCACACCCACAACAGCACCAAACCACCACACACACAAGCCACAGACACAACAACCACAAACACACACACAACAACACACACAACACACGACACAACTCTCACAACACCAAGGACAACAAAAAACTTTTCTACACCAACTTCTCACACACACACCGCAACACACACACCACCACAACACACACACACACACACACACGAACACCATACAACATACAACAACAAACTCTCTCTAATCCACAGAGCCGGCAACACCACACCCCACACACACCAACAAAACACACACACACACACACACAAGGACAACACACAACACACAACACACCCACACACACCCAACAACACACAACACAAACCACACAACACACACACACAACACACAGGAAACACAAACTCTTCACCACACACAGACAGAGGGTGAAAAGAGGTGCTGCAGCACAGGCAGTCTGAGAAAAATTAAGAGCTTGTTGAACATTAAAGCATGGAGACATGTCCCAGTAGAGACACTAAAAATAAACATGAACCTGAACATAATAATAATAATAGCTTAGATTTATATAGCGCCTTTCATGGGACCCAAGGTCGCTTTACAAGGAAGAACAGGGCAAAACAAACATAACAAAACAAAAAGGCAATCAGACAACCAGTCAGACAGACAAAAACAACAAATAGATTAGGGGCCAAAGGCCTTGGTGAACAGATGGGTCTTGAGGGCCCTTTTGAAGGCGTCAAGCGTGGGGATGTTGCGGATCTCCGCAGGGAGAGCGTTCCAGAGGGTGGGGGCTGCCACGCTGAAGGCTCTGTCCCCGAAGGATCGCAGTTTGGTGCGGGGGGTGGTAAGCAGGCCAGAGTCTGAAGACCGCAGGTTCCGGGGTGGGGCATGTGGGTGAAGGATGTCCGATAGGTACTGGGGGGCATGGGCATGGGCATGGAGGGACTTGTAAGTAAGGAGGAGGATTTTGAATGATATGCAGGACTTGAACATGAGCAGAATAAGGCCCCTTTAAGTGCAAAATCTACTAGTATTTCTTCTAGCACTGATTAGTTGCCATGGTGCTGCCATGTATAAGCGTAAACAACAAACAGATGCTGAGTCAGGACACGTGCCCTGGGGTCTAATCCAGGTTTTACGTGATAACCATACGTGCAGTAAAGCCACGATCATCCGGCGGTAAAAACAAGCCGACACACTTTGATGTCTAGACTACCTGGAGATTTCTAAATCCAAACACAGAGAAATGACAGGATGGTGATGCAAGGTGTAATGAGGAGTCACTGGATCACCACAGGAGTGCTGTTAGGGTGTGTGGAGGGTAAATATACCTCTCTCAGGTCATTCTTTGGACAAAAGGCTGGAAACAGCAGGGATCAGACTCTAAAAACCACATCTCAGGGCTGTGTGTGTGTTTCTTTTACAGTGCCAAACATCTGGATTCAAACATGGAGCCTTCTGTTCAGCTCAAGTTAAATCCCTTTGCCTCTACTGATGTCTCAAATATGATCCCATCAATCAACCCTAAGGGCTTTTATTGTGCAAAACTAGCAGGTAGAGCTTAAAAAGGTAATGAGTTTCACTATAAGGAAAACTGACACTTCAAGAGAGGGACTGAAATCATAAACAACATCCAGATGTGCACTGGACTGCATTGATTGGAAGAAATAATCCACAACTTTCTAAAACAAAATGCACTTTGTGTAAATTTTTCATGCAGAAATGTCAGAAAATGCAGTTTGAGACTCTAAAATATGGAGATGTTACAATTTTTCCCTATTAAAATCCTATTTAAGTGAATAGATTTGTGTTTTGTACACAAATGAATGACCTTTTTCACTTTTCCCCCACATTTCTTTCACAAAACGAAACGCTGAAACTGTATTTTTGTATAAAAAAAGAATAGGCCGAATTGCAGTAATGTAAAAATAATTTCACCCACAGAAGAATAGTATAACTGGATTTATACATCCAGAAACACTAAGAAAACAGCAAGATGTTTATAAATAAGGGTGTAAGCAAGTCAATTAAGTTTACAGGTAATTAACTTAACTGACGCGGATTTAAACTTATTTTGAAATGTAGGTCAGTGACACGGTGTGCGAGTTAATGATGAGGGAAACAACACCTCTAGAAGACGTTAAGCGTCGTTTTCAAAGTGCTACAACATTCATATCTTCACAGACATATCCCGAAAAGTTTCACAATTTCACTAATGTAGATGTTTTTACATTGTTGGAGGAAGTAAACCAACTACAGACAAGTTGCTCCAAATCAGGTTTTCTGCAGCTAAAATCGGAAGAAAGCATCAAACTCACCCCCTGGCCGATGAAGGTACTCAAAAACACTGTGAGTTCCCGTATTTGAGATGTTGTCTGAGCTGCAGGTAATGTGAGAGTGCAGCATGCTTCAGATTTAACTCAGAGCAGCGCCCAGTTTTCCGGCTGCTGCGTTCACTGCCTGATCTCTTAGCAACAGATCAGTGCAGGAATGTGGAAAGTGCGACCTCCAGTGGCCATGCGTTGCAACTGCAGCCAAAAAAATGCACCTGACACACTTAAAAAAATATATTTCTTAGATTATTTATCTATGTCAATATGTTCTGGAAGTACCTGATTATCATTACTTAATATTGCCACACCGTATTTTCTAAACTACCAATACAATTATATTTTATCTGGGGTTTGTTACTTCTTTTTTGATCTCATAATACACTCAGCCTTTTATATAGAAAACCAAAATCTTAGGACTCCTTTACCTTACTTGTAACATTACCCTTAATAAAGTTATTATGATTTATTTTCAAAGCCCCAAAATTCCACCCTTAAGCCGTAATGCTTATAAAATAACAAAAACACAAATTTAGTTTTGAGATTTTATTTTACAACATTTTTAAACATTCATTATATAATCAGTTTGAAAAAATACCCAATCATTTCAAGATTGTCATATTTGCACATTTTATAAAATGTTTTTAGTGTTTTTTAGTAGTCGTAGTAGCAGTTGAGTCTTCTATAGTGTTTTTTTATTTTAAATTGTGTACTCTGTCAATTCATGTGCAATGCAATTACATGCAAAATTAATCCCAATTTGTGATCAATAAATGATATCTAATCTAATATCAGATGTATTCATTTTATATTAAAACAAATACAAAAAGTATCAACAAATATAAAAGAAGACATATAAAACAAATATGTACAAAAAAAAGGTCTAAATTATTTCACAGATTAAATCAAAATTTCTAAATGACTGTACATGAGTCTTTCTGATTGCTGGATATTTTCCTCTGAACTGGAACAGACATGTTGAGTTGTTGTAAAAAAGTAAACAGGATGTCAGGACTATATAACTGTTGTGGCTCTACAGTCCTGAGAGATTTAGTTTGTGATCATGAAAAAATATTTATTTTAGCTTTCGGATGTGATGTTTCCGAATTGTTGTTATTTTTTCCCCCAGGAAAAGTCCGTTGCCGTAGCTCGTTCTCTTCCATTATTAACGGTGTTTGGGCCCTTCAGATAAAAACAAGAGGCAGTTACAAATAAGTTCTTGGGAAGTAGGAATCAAGATAAATATTCATAATAAAGGAATAAACTGACTTACTCATCAGAGTCTTTGGTTGATTTCTGGAGTTGTAGTCGTTTCGTTCAAGTCCTCACCAGTTTACAAAAGTTTTTACTATGAAAAGTGACAATGAAAGCTCAAATTAGGTAGTGTACATCCTTTCGTGAGCGACAAAAGTCCCACTTCACTGCCGTCGAATCACGTTATATTTCCAAACGTAATGTCCTTTCTAATATTTTTGACAAAACGCAGCACGACAGTACGTTCACACGACAAACACCCCTTCTTCTGCTTTCTTCCTTTTTTAAGTGTCCGTAACTTTTTAATATATAGTGAACACAATTAAAAACGTCGTTTAAACTGGTAGATAAGGTTCACTAATCCAACTTATAATCTAGTTGGCCACTAACAAATTCAGTTGTTATTCCTTTAGATAGATAATAATAAATACATAATGTATTATACTATTAGTAGTATAATACATACACGACGATAAAAACGTGAAAAGACCGTCAAAACGTGAAATTCACAAAGACGGGTTTACAATAAAATAACGTGGTATCTGTATAAAAGGAGCATTTGACATTGACATCCCGGAGATAACACAATTTTTCGATTAACACACACTTAAGTAGAATGTACAACGTAATTACAAAATGGTTACCTAATAATTTGAGAATAGCGTTATACAAGTTGCACCAAACCTATGACACACAATATTTATTACATAGAGAGATTGAGCATATATATAATAATGTAAAACCCAATTATTTGGGTCACCCACATTTAATTGATTCATGTAGAATATCTACAGTGACATGAATTCATTCTCATAAAGTACAAAAGAGATGAACAAGAAGATTTTAAGGTATCCGTTATAACAGAAAGATGAGTTGATGAACAAAATCAGGGAATTTAATGAAATGTCTAAAACTTAAATTACTACACGTTATCTCATTTCACTCAGTTAAGTGTTCGATGGACAATATATTTCGGTAATTTTGAGATCGACGTGGCAAATGGTCGAAACTTTTGTGAAATTACTAGTTAGACATATTTAGTATAGTATAATTTAATAAGACTTTACGTGTTAGTCGGTATTACTCAATGAAATGACAACATGAAAATGAACATTGGAAAACTCGTACCTCCTGAAATTTAACATTGTCTCAATCAACGATAAGACATGAAGCCCCATGAAATGAAAAATGAGTTCATGTTCTAGACTTCCACGAAGACGGGTTCAGGGTGAGCAGCAATTCCTAAATGATAAATCAAAGCTAAACTGGCCTAAACGTCACTTTCGAAACTTAAACTTGCAATCCGCCAATTTTCTTCTCTGTTCTACCGAGCTGACGCCAATATAAGGAGCACACGCAAACCTGATAAAGCTTTTTCCATTCTTTATCTTCTGTGTAATTACAAAATAATTGGAATAAAGTAATAAGAATTTGAGAGGCGACCCACTTGCAACATCGCACAACAGAAAGCAATAATCCTTCCAATCATGCAAAAAACCGCCAATTTATTTTTTTCTAAACAAACAAGTATTTACATATAAAATATAGGCATAAAACTTTTCAATGTTTAATGAATGCTTATGTAGATGGTGTCCATTCCGTTCGGGAAGTTGGTGTTCCGTTAAAGTTTCACGAAATGTTTTTACTTCTTGTATTATCGTAACTCTTTATCACGTCGCTCTAATATTTTAATGATGAGTTTTTACGATAATTTTTCGGTTTCTCTTATTTTACATGTACTTTACCCGATAATATCTATTTTGTCCTATATTTATGTACTTAATTTTCAGATGTCACGTCACATTTTAATTATCAAGCTATGAAAGATTTATTACTAATTGTGCTCTTACATTTCCAATTTGGACACAATATTGACCAGTCTATTAATGGAATATCAAGCAAAATATTGATAACTTCTACATATTCCTAAACACAAATTATTTTTTTTAGGTATTTCTTTAAGTAAATACAAGATGATATGTTTCGTTTTCAGCAGAGTTCGTACGTTGACGTCGTAACTTGAGCATAGGAGTGTCAAAAAAACCTCTCTGTCGTTCGCGTAAAGCACCGTAGACGCCGCACCCGTTCATGCGAAGGCCGTAGACGGTGTCTCCGGCGATGAGGCACCATAGACACCGGTTCATATACGGTGCTCCTACGGTGTTGAACGGCACCGTTCATTTACGGTGTTGACCGGCACCGTAAACACGCTACGACTTGCCCTCAACGGTCGTTCTGTAAGGTCTCTATTCTCTTCAAATGCTATCGACCGGTGAGGGAAGCGCACCGTTTACGACTATAATTTGGGCATAAATAGCGGCATATTTACAACGACAAAACCCGTATGAAATAGCCTGACCAGACATGTGTTCCTGACTACTACACAATGACTACCAGGCTAGAGATAAAAAGTTTTTCTAATTGTAATATACAAGATACCTAAATATGACCTCTTGCACCAAACAATTTTATTTATTTGCACGATAAATACTATTATGATTTTATATATAATCCATTCAACTGGTCATTCTGATTGTAACAACAACTAACACAACCCCATTCATGGATTCATCTGCTATGGGTAACAATGTATAGTGATTTCGTGTTCAATCCGATAAAGATTTAGTGTTCATGTCAATGAACTCATATGTTCAATCGGAATAAAGGGCGTGGAGACCAGTTGTTAAAATCTAGAAATACAGCTGAAAACAAAGATGACTTTGACAGGGGAGGACGTCCAGACTGACGGAGAGCCATTCTGGTAGTGGTGACACTACCGTCGTTACCTCTTCTCAGTACGATGTCACCAGGTCGACACGTTTGGTTTCTGCACAAGACCGTTAGGTGGACCGTCTTTCAGGAAGGAGACGCCCGCTTCTGTTATAACGATGAATGTGGTGTTTCAAACAGTCTGTCACTTACGAATTAAAATTTTTTTCCTTCTCAGTAAAATTTGACGACCTGAAGCTTGACTGAAGGACTTTATAGTACTGCAGTGCGGCTATCTAACTCCCGTACGGATAGCGACAGCAAATTGTGTAGGGGCTTCCACGGAAAGTAGCCCTCTTGGACGGGAGCGTCTAGATGCCATTCTCTGAAACAATTTGTTTGTATAATATAAAAATCCCTTACCCTATAGTAGTTGTCGTACAGTCGGTAGAAGACTCCTATGCCTATTGAAGTAAAAAATTATCGTATGTCCACATCCGCGATTGAGGGTAGTGGTCTGGTCCGCGTCTGGTAATTCCCCTTTATACTAAAAACACATGAAACTACTAAACCTAAGATTTTTATAGATGCAGGGTGTTATGGTGGCGCCAAGGGTAAGCGGAGGGGGCGGGGGGGGGGCGGCGGGGGGGGGTGGGGGGGAAGACAGCCAAGAGACATAAGTTTAGACAAAGAGAAACGTCTCGAACGTGCTTGGGAAAGACGGCAGCATCTGTAGCCACCAGAGGACGAGCGGTGCCGAGCTGGAACGAGGTGCCATATGGACTGAGAAGGGAGGTGTTGTTAGTATGTAGACAGCCGGTTATCGGTGTGCCTTTGTTAAGTGACGACAGCTGTCGAGCAAGAAGTGTTGTTGTCGTCTCTCAACCTACATTTGCGATTGTTTTCAAGAGTGACAGGGAGCTTTCTCCGCAGGTGACTTGCTAGGTCTCCAGTTTTACAGACCGAAATTTCCACTCCTCTTGGAAGGTGTTTTTAGTGTTCTTTGACTTGCTTAAAGAGCGTAACGAGTAACAAGAAATTAAGAGGTTACAAGACTGTCTTTCTAGGGCAAGACTAGTTGGGTGTCGACCGCCAACAGGGCATAGGACATCGACCTGGATTCAGTCATAATGTTGAGATAAGACATGAAAACGAGATAAGGGACAACAAAGGAGACAAAGAAGTGTCGAAACGTAGACTAGTAACGGTCACAGGCACCGATGAGAGGACACCGACAAACGCCAACGTTGTGGCGGAAGAACATGATTCTTTCTGTAGATTCTCTTCCATTAAAACGTATATGAAAATATTTCGTGGTAAAGGGTCGACCTGTTTTTGGTGTGAAAGTGGCAAATGTGGTCCCAGTGTGAGATGTGATTTGATTGTAAATAACGTAATGGAAATCATGGAAAGTCTACAAGTTTGACTCGCATTAACGTTTTATATAGTTGATTATACAAAATATCCAAGTCTACCATCAGGAGTCAGACCGTGCTACGATACGAAGTTGTGACTTATACTATTATGTAATTTACAGAACAGAAGCAATAGGAGTCAGGCAACCTCTTCCTGGACTCGTACTGGTTCNTGTTCACCAAGGCCTTTGGCCCCTAATCCATTTGTTTTTCTTGTCTGTCTGACTGGTTGTCTGATTGCCTTTTTTTTTGTTATGTTTGTTTTGCCCTGTTCTTCCTTGTAAAGTGACCTTGGGTCCCATGAAAGGCGCTATATAAATCTAAGATATTATTATTATTATTGATCCCGACCCTGCCCCTGCCCCCGCCTCGACGTAAGCGTGACGTATGCGGTGCTTTTGCTCTAGCCAGACACTTTTTTGGTGCTTGAAACAAACCGGATTCCGGAGGCTGCTCCGCTTCCGTGTGAACAGGAAAACCCGGTGCTTTTCAAGCTCCAGCTCCGAACCGGCCCTGAAACACAGTTGGTGTGAATGAGGTATAAGTGGCTCCCTTACCTTTGTCTCAGGGCTCTCAACCTCACATATTTTCCTGTCAGACTTGCACCCACACTACACTATATATACACTTGCATACATTCACAGTAAATATGTATTCAGTATGATAGCTGTCTAACAGAAGTTAAATTAATTTCTCACTTATTCTGACAATGTACATTGTCAGAATAAGTGAGAAATTAATTTAACTTCTGTTAGACAGCTATCATACTGAATACATATTTACTGTGAATGTATGCAAGTGTATATATAGTGTAGNCAATCACAATAAAACCCATTGCTCCTGACATGAGTGTGTGTGTGTGTGTGTGTGTGTGTGTGTTTGTGTGTGTGTGTGTGTGTACAGTCCAGTGTTTTTTTTTTTTAACTGGGCACGCTGCCAACTTTGGGCTCATGTCACTGCTTTCCCCTCCAACGTCTTCTCCACAGTCTCAAGGAGAAAGAGGTTATTTTCTTCTACCACTTGTTATTCTGCTCAGGCATGCACAGAGTTATACAAGAGAAAAGACTTTCAAGTGACGTCTAAAAGAAACGGGAGCTCTTTAGTCCCTGAGAACAATCTATTTTTACAGCCGCCATTCTTGCAAAACATCACACAGATGACACTTCTGGTGCAACACAGAGCCATAAATCACAGTAAAAAACAATATTTAAGATCAATTATAGATGTGGGAAACACTCTTAAATCAGCAGCCTTTGTTGTGTGTGACCCATGTGGTCAGATGTTGGTTTTTGAGGCTTAAAACAATGAAGTGACAAATATAGTAGGAATTAAAACCATGTGTCATCCATCTTTGGGAGCTCGTAGTATTTAGTGCCACAAAAATGCATAATAGGGCTCCTTTAAAAAAAGTCTGAGTACTTCTTCCACCTCTGCCTAAATGGTGCTTTGCCAAATCTGAGAGTGTTCGTGGGACCGCCATGACCTCGACACATCGACGCCGCCTACTTTTGTTTTCCTTCCCTTACGACTGATGCTTGGCGGGCAAAAGCACCGGCGTCAGCCAAAGTCTCTGTCAGTGCAGCGATAACTTTTCGTTTCCCTGCCTCTCCGCGGTGGGCACAGCTCTTCTGATAAAGGGGAAATGGGCAGCGGTCCACACGCAGCACACTGTCTGACCGAGGGGACTGTGGCAGAGGTGTCAACAGGACTCAAAGGAAGAGCTAGCACACCAGCTCTATGTGGAAAGGCTCTGCGAGGTGACCTTTACAGCGAGGTGTGTCATGGTTTCACAGTGCTGTTGTTCACGCACTTTACCAACGCACACCTACAACAAAATCTGAGATTATTCCCCCGGCCCGTACTACTTACTTTTGAAACAGCTGAATTTCCCAAATATTCGCTCCTCTAAGGCTCTTAAAACTTGGCAAGCACAAACAAATCTATTTACTTAACGGCAAATTGTTCCTTCCCATGGTAGAGATCCTGTATGACAGAAAGTACTTCTATTTCGAAGGGCTCAGCTTATACAGTTAACCTCAGCCTTCTGCTTCTCAAACTGCCCATCTTTCACTTTCTTCACCCACGTTTTCCTGAACTGCTGCAAAAACATCCACCTTCACAAACTCTCAGAACAGAAGTTACAGTATTTCTAATGTAACCACCTCTGCATTTCCCAGAATGCCTTTGGAAAATCAAAGAAACAACTGCTTTCTATTCAAGTAAATGTGGAGATACTCACCGTCGTTGCACATGAAGCACTTGCAGACAAACACACACAGACACAGGAGGACCACGGCCGCCACGCCGCACATCGACAGGAGGACGACGTTGGCCGAACCCACTGAAGCAAACACACACTTACAGTCAAATACAGTTTATGTTTAAAAAGACATCTGGACTAAACGAGAGGTTATCCCAGAATAACAACTCTGGACTCCATCAGAGCAGCCATAATTACACGGGACTAAAATATCTAAGAATACACACATGAGAAAAACAAAAGGCCTGTTTCTGCTTCACCTCAGCACCCAGGAATGAGAAATATGACTGGTTTCCACCATCTTTGGCAACATTTTCAGACAGTTCTGATGCATAACTTGCACAGGTGTTTTCACTTGTGCTTTGTAAGATCTGCCTGCAAATAAGGGAAGCTGCTCAAGTCAAAAAAGCGAAATATCTACACAACTATATGCACTTCAATAGTAGATACAATGTATACAGTTATTTATAGTGTGGATTTTCACCTGGGCTGTTTATTACTTTCTAGCTACGCTTCAGGTTCACATTTGTATGTTTTGCCTCTACTGTTACGTGTTTACATGCTTTAAATATTAGCGTCTCACCGTCTGTAGGCAGGGACACTCTTATAGGTTTCAGCAGGCCCGGGTGTTGCACCACGCATGTGACGGACAGGTCCTTGATTGCTGATTGGAGGAGCAGCGTGCTCGTCACCACCGTGGTGCCGTCGCCCTGATCGTAGGCAGAGGAAACGGGCGGTCCGAGCGTTCGATTCTCCCCGGGGATGTCCCAGGTGATCTCTGCTGGGGGACGGGAGCGGGCCGTGCAGTTGGCCTCAGAGACCCCCGAGGACGAGGTCACATGACTCACCTCTGGATTGGGTAGAACTGAAACACAGATCAGTGGCTGGTTATTATTCTTATATTGGATTGTCTGTCGCCTGTCAATCACTGTCTCTCGACATTGACACTAGTTGTTGTCCTCCGACCGGCCGCAGCAGCAGGTATTCACTAACTGGTGATTTGTGTCTGTCAGCGGAGACAAAGCCCGTTGAGCAGAGCGAGGAGAAACACACACTGAGGCCTTGTGTCTGGAAACAGCGCGCCACTCATCCCCTCGGCTTTCACCCAAATTAAATCACGTCTTTCCCATCAGTCACACCCCTCCCTCTGTCAACATAAAACAAACTCACACATTGGGAGGGTAAACAGCAACTCACTTTCCTGGAACCATCGTTAACCACTTCTAATTCTGCTTTTAACGCCTCTCTGGAACAGTGGCGAGAAAAACGATGAGAGCGCCGTCTCCAGAGCAGTAGTTCAATGACCTCTCACCTCCAGGTTTGTTTATAAAAGGCGCTTCCTTCCTTTTCCTTTTCCTGACACACGCACAGCCTGTCATTGTGCATAACAAGTACTTTTGATACTTACTTATATTATCTTGAAATGAGCCATTGTGCAGAATGAGTACTTTTACTTTTGGTACTTGAAGTATATGTTGATGCTGCTAATACTTGTGTACTTATAGTACATTTGGAAATCAGGACATTTAATGGAGTATTTTTAGACCATAGTATTCATACTTTTAATTAAAGGGACATTATTATGCTAATGTTCAGGTTTCATATTTGTACCTCTACTGTGACATGTTTCCATGCTTTAAAGTTCAAAAGGGTCTTTATTTTACTCATACTAAGCTTGAAAGGATCTTAAAGTAGGTCAAGACCCTTAACCTAGATTCTATTAAAAGGATCTCAACCTACTTACTCCAAACACGTTCACATTTGAGGAACTCTGGCTCAGTGTCACTTACAATAAGAAAACACATAGTACACATGCGCTCACCGTAGACGGAGAGGCAGGCGGAGCCGCTCTTGGTGCCGTCCGGGTAGGCGTGGAACTCGCAGGTGTAGCAGGCCTCGTCCTGCGTGCTCACGGCCTGGATGGTGAGCTGGGTGTCGTCCAGCGTGCGGCTCAGGCTGAACCGGCGCCTGTAGCGCTCCTCGATGTTGTGGTGGCCGCGCTTGGTGTAGGACGCCACGGTGGAGGTGTCGCCCTGCTCCGCCGTCTTCCTCCACAACACCTGGTGCACCTTCTCAGGCAGGCTGTACGCGCAGGAGAGGGTGACCGGCCTGCCGCTCAGAGCCGTCCTGTTGCCCTGCAGGCTCACTTTACCTGACACAAGTCAATATGAAAGATAAAGAATTGAATTTGTTTTGGGTTTTGGGTTCCCTGTATAAATTGAACTGTCGATTAAGCAAACTGTAATATAAATAATAATTAAAAAAAATATATATTATTGAAATGTTTGAGTGACGAATTATTCCGTCTGTGTTGTTGCTTACATGTTTATTTGTCTGTTGATTTATTTCTGATGTACAGTAAAAACGTTACAGCCCTGTGGCTTCTGCCTAACGACAGGAGCCTGGGTGTAATTAAACAGTGTGTGCACATTTAATAGGAACAACAGGAAGGGTACAGTATCTCGCTGGGTGGGCTTCTTCCCTGTGGATCATTAGCCCTCCACTTCCTGTCTCATCAGAGAAATAGTTAGAAAAACAAACTCCCTTTGTAACCCTAATTTGTCTCTGTGGAAAGAGGAACAAAGGTGGAATTGGTGAGGTTTAAGCAGGACTGACCGGTTACGCTGACGCACGTGGTCCCCTCCAGCGAGCCCGTGGGAAACACGTCGAAGATGCAGCTGTAGCAGCCCTCGTCCTCGGACCCCACGCTCTGGATGGTGATGTAGCTGCCGTTGCTGTGCGAGGCGTTGAGCTGCACGTTGGGCTCCTGATGGCTGACTTGCACCGGCTCGCTCGGCTTCCTCAACTCGTACGCCAGCAGGACCTTCTTGTGCCGGTCGAGCCACCGTACCTGCCGCACGGTGTCGCCCGTCTCCGTGGTGACGGAGCAGCCGAGCAGCAGGGGGAGGCCCGCCTCTGCTGTTACACTGACAGGAGCTACCACCTGACCTGAAATCAGACAGACATTTTTTATTAATTGGTGGCACCTTGATATATCGTTGACATCCACCATGATAAATGTTTTATTTAATTTGTATATATATATATTCACATTTTTATTTTAACATTTGGATTTTCTTTGTTGTGAATGTATTATCTTTTTTAATGTATATACACAATACCTATTGCGCATCTTCTGCCATATTGTGTGAACATTTTTAAGCAGAACTTCTCTTTTTTCTTTAGTCGTTCATGGTTGAATTATGTTTCCACGTTGAACAAATGTCTTTTCTTAAAGATTTTAAGGTAAATCAGGGTGAGTAAGTGATAAAGAAATGGTGCTTCTGTGGGCATCATCAAGGCCAAAACATTTTCAAACAGAAGACACCTTATTTATAAGGAAACTGAGTTCACTAGTTAGATTTTCCTCCATAAAATGAAAACTATAAGGAATATGAAACATACCTTGCGTCCTGGACACAGCCAGTCCTGAGATCCAGAGCAGCACACACAGGAGGGCGGGTCCACACATCGCACACTGAGGCCGGGTTACCAACACACACGATCTGAGCCAGAATCACATCCGGGCTGCTGCTGCAAACACAAACGCCGTCAGAAAACCTGTACAGAAACTATGAGGATGAGGAGGCTGAGATGAAGACATACCCCGCTCAGAGGTCCAGTGTTGTTGAGCTGCTGCTGGTCAGTACAGTCTCTGCATCTCACTCACACCGCCTGCTGCAATATGAGCCAGAGGAAGACATTAGCCATGACATCATCATAACAAATTACACACTTTACTTAGCGCTGGAAAAAAACAACACAAATGTCCTTTTTATTGCAGCTTTGGGACATTAGTTGCAGTGATGGTAAGTGAATTTACTCTAGTACTGTACTTAAGTAATATTTTGACATACTTTAACTTGACTTGAGTAGCCATTTTATGCTACATATGATCATACTCCTCAAATGTGTAAGAAAATATATTACTTTAACTCCACTTAATTTATGTGACAGCCAAAGCCGGATTAGTACCTCCAGGGGCCCCTGGGCACTGAGCACTCATGCCCCCCCCCCCCAACCCACGTACCAACAAGTAACACCACGCCTACCCAATCCTACCAACATGACCAGTATTTAGAATTTTCAGTCAATCTGACATGTCAAATCGCACACCTATCTGTCAAAAGCAGGGGCGCAGCCACATAGTTCAACCAAAGTAGGTCTAGCCTTTTGCCCTTTTAGTCAAAAATCACAAGACAAAGATACAATGGATAAGATCTCAAGACAGTGTATGGCTCAGGAATACCTAGGTAATATCAATCAAAACCTCAGAACAGCACCCCACTTAATGCCAAAATATGACTGGCTGGCTGTACAAGTACACGAGGAGTTCTATTTCCTGTACAAGGTACACCTAGGAGTTCTATTGTCACAAACATCGAGAGGTTACAAAAGTAAAATATGTAGTGAATATTGTGTGGTTGCTCAAGGGGTGGGCTGTGATTCGGCTATACCACCGCCGTCGCTTAGTAATAAAGTGAGGCGCATACATAGTGGACCTACAGTACAGAGACCTACAGTAATTTGATCCTATGGAAAAGCTGTGTTATTTTATGGCGAAGAGTGAGTGTCATTTAAAACAATGTATGATGAGTGAGGTGTTGTGCCCGAAAAAAAAAAAGAGACAAAAGGGTCCCCTGGCACTTGCCCAGGTTGGCCCCATATGGGTTAATCGCGCCTTGGTGACAGCCTCTCTTACAAAATTCAGATTATTAGCCATACAAAATATAAATCAACTAAGAGCTGGCCAGAAATAACCAATGATGGCAGACTGGCTCTGGCCCGGCCTGCGCGCGCGCTGCCGGGCCGCTAATTGGGGGTTTGTAGAGGAGCTGTCACCCAAAGGCCGGATCTAACCATATGGGCAACCTGGGCAAGTGCCCAGGGCCCTTTTTGTCTTCTTTTTTTGTTTTCGCCACAACCTCAGACTCATCATACATTGTTTTAAATGACACCTCACCTCTTCGCCATACAGATAACACAAGCTTTTCCATAGGGTATCAAGATTAACTGTAGGTCTCTGTTTGGACTGTCAGGTCTCACTATGTTATGCGCTCAACTTTTACTAAAGCGACGGCTGGCTGTATAGCCGATCCAGGCCCACCCTTGAGCAACACACTACAATTCTCACTACATATTTTCTTTTGTAACTCCTTCGATGTTGTGACAAATAGAACTCCTCGTGTACTTGTACAGCCAGCCAGTCATATTTTGGCATTAAGTGGGGTGCTGTTCTGAGGTTTTGATTGATATTACCTAGGTATTCCTGAGCCATACACTGTCTTGAGATCTTATCCATTGTATCTTTGTCTTGTGATTTTTGACTAAAAGGGCAAAAGGCTAGACCTACTTTGGTTGAACTATGTGGCTGCGCCCCTGCTTTTGACAGATAGGTGTGCGATTTGACATGTCAGATTGACTGAAAATTCTAAATACTGGTCATGTTGGTAGGATTGGGTAGGCGTGGTGTTACTTGTTGGTACGTGGGTTGGGGGGGGGGGGCATGAGTGCTCAGTGCCCAGGGGCCCCTGGAGGTACTAATCCGGCTTTGGCTGTCACATAAATTAAGTGGAGTTAAAGTAATATATTTTCTTACACATTTGAGGAGTATGATCATATGTAGCATAAAATGGCTACTCAAGTCAAGTTAAAGTATGTCAAAATATTACTTAAGTACAGTACTAGAGTAAATTCACTTACCATCACTGCAACTAATGTCCCAAAGCTGCAATAAAAAGGACATTTGTGTTGTTTTTTTCCAGCGCTAAGTAAAGTGTGTAATTTGTTATGATGATGTCATGGCTAATGTCTTCCTCTGGCTCATATTGCAGCAGGCGGTGTGAGTGAGATGCAGAGACTGTACTGACCAGCAGCAGCTCAACAACACTGGACCTCTGAGCGGGGTATGTCTTCATCTCAGCCTCCTCATCCTCATAGTTTCTGTACAGGTTTTCTGACGGCGTTTGTGTTTGCAGCAGCAGCCCGGATGTGATTCTGGCTCAGATCGTGTGTGTTGGTAACCCGGCCTCAGTGTGCGATGTGTGGACCCGCCCTCCTGTGTGTGCTGCTCTGGATCTCAGGACTGGCTGTGTCCAGGACGCAAGGTATGTTTCATATTCCTTATAGTTTTCATTTTATGGAGGAAAATCTAACTAGTGAACTCAGTTTAGAGACCGCTAGAGACACTAAAATACGATAGAGAGCTGAATCAAGTTAATTATCTATAATAGTCTTTCCTTAATAGTTGTACTTTATATTAGATGGCGATGATATCATGCGGCCAGGTCGCTTTTCTACAAGGAAGAACAGGGCAAACAAACATAACAAACAAAGGCAATCAGACAACCAGTCAGACAGACAAAAACAACAATAGATTACGGGGCCAAAGGCGCTTGGTGAACAGTATGGGTCCTTGAGGGCCCTTTTGAGAAGGCGTCAAGCGTGGGGATGTTGCGGATCTCGCAGGGAGAGCGTTCCAGAGGGTGGGGGCTGCACGCGCTGAAGGCTTGTCCCCGAAAGGATTCGCAGTGTGGTAGGCTAGTGGAACTCAGGGTTCTTATAAGATAAGGGATCGTGTTCTGGTATATAGACAGAANACACACACACACACACACACACACACACACACTCATGTCAGGAGCAATGGGTTTTATTGTGATTGGGTTCAGACTGCAGTTTACTGGAAGAAAGCTGTGATGTGTCTGTCCTCATTTGGAGCTGACTTAATTATTTTTTAAATATTTGTTCCACACACCAAGTGGCTTCTATTCATGCACATAGTTTGCTTTTCATTCCCCTGCTTTAAAATAAATTAAATGAGCAGAATATGTCCCTTTTTTAAAATAGGAGTTAATACGGTCTGCATGACTTGGATGCAGAAAGTCAGAGAGATGTTCGGCCTACTGTAAACCCTCACTATGGCGAGTTGTGATGTCTGCGGGCACAAAGAGCTTTTGTATGGTCTCTTCTGGATCAGTGGGTGCCATTCAGCTTTCAATCACAGCTGGGAAGTAAGGCCGAGGTTGCTGTTCCAGTAAAATGTCTATTTGTGTCCGAGTTTCCATGTTTTCCAGGACTTTAGGGTACGGCGGTGGCACAGCTACAAGAGAAGGGAGTCAACCTCGTATAAAGGCAATATTTTCATGAAAAACGACAGTTTTCAGTGGCACCTTTTTATCTGTAACACCACAGGAAGTACAGGGGAGGGACCATATCCGGCCATGAGGGCAGACATAAGGATAACACTGATTGTTCCTTAGAGATTAGACGTGGAAAAACAAGAGAACTGAGCAGCAGGACAAGATGAAAATAAGAAAGTACGCCTGCCGCTCACACTACACTTTTTCTGATCCATTTCCCAGGTTCTCCGTCACACACTTCACTCCTGCTCTAATTGGCTTTTTAGGGGCCACATGTGTCGAGTGGGCCCCGCTAAATATCTCACATTGCTGCCGCATGTACGTTGAGACGTTGCAGGCACTTAATCATGTCTGAAGAATTCCTGCAATGTTTCATTGTTCTTCTGCATGTGGTCTTTTTGGTTGTGAGTGGGTGTTTTTCTCTGGGTTTAGACTTGTTGTGTTTATTTCTGCATTCCGGTGTGGGATTTATGTCAAGTAAACGCAACCCAGGACATGTTTGCCTTGAGACACTCTCATTCTTCACTGGGTGCAAACTGTCTGATTTCCTATTATTTCATACAGATTGTTGCGGGTATGAGTCAGAATTCTCGATGTTAACTTCCAGGTCAGCATACGAAAACACATTGGGAAATAGGCAATAAATAGAAGAAATGTCAGTGTTATTTTCCCGGACATTCATCTGACTAAGCAAAGAATGGCAGTGATGGAGCAGATTAGAGGTGGGACTTAAGGAAATCAGGTTTTTGTCATTGAGAGACCGGACATTTGGGCTTTCACTGAGCAAGGAATTAACGGGGCCCCGCCTCCAAAGCTATATCCAGTTATTTTTATACATCCATGGACCTGTGAGGAAGAATGTGTGTTTCTTGAGACAGAGCTGACCAACTGACTGTGTCTCTTTCTTTCTGTGCAGAGTGATGTGAAGGCAGTCGTCTCTCCTGCTGTGATGAGGGTCCAGTGGAGCTCTGAGCCTGACCAAGTCCTGAAGTCCTCTTGTCATTCACTACACAGTAAACAGAACTAACACTATTTCATGATATATTTGACACTTACTGTAGAAATGTGGCCCAGATCATTGAGGAAATCCTTGTCAGGGCATACTGGGGGGTCGGTTGTGTGTGTGTTTGAATGTGTGAGGTCAACTCTAAGCTGTAGAGCTCTGTGATAAGATGTATATTTTGGATTTATCTGGCTCAAATAGAGGTCACTCTGTTCTTTTAAAGTGTTTTTGACTTTGTTGGGAAGATGTTAATATATTCAGTCTTTTTTTTTTTTAAAACAACAGAAATGTTGGCAGCTTTTTCATTATTCTTTTAAGCTCCTTTAAACATGCTTTCAATTCATTCATAAGTAATGAATAATTCTATAAGTAATAAAGGGCTTTTAAAGGGGACATTTAATGCTGATATTCAGGTTTATGTCTATGTATTGGGCTTCTCCTAGAACATGTTACATGCTTAAATGTTCAGAAACGACTTTATTTTTCTTATACTGTATTCACTCTCAGTCTGAAACGCTCCGTTTACACCTGTCTCTTTAAGTCCCCGCCCCCAAAAAAGCCTGCTCTTATTGGCTTAAATGGCTCCAAGTACCGTGATGTATGTAAACAAGCACAGAGAAAGTGGCTTGTTCACTACTGCTTGATTGTTGACCACCACAGGGGGCTACGTCACCGTGAAACCCTTTATTTAGTGGTTGCCAAAATGAGAAAATATACTTTGAAAACTAGAAAAACAAATGAAAGGTTTGTTATTTAAAGCTGCTGTGTTTCTCGTGATGGTGAAGGGTGGTCACCTATCACCTTCAGGCCCTAACACTCAAAAGAGACCTGTGTGTATGTGTATTAGAGGAGCGAGCGTGTGTGTGTGTGTGTGTGTGCTGCATTGTTGCACAGTGTTTCATGACTTACAGAGCTTCCCTGTAGGGAGCATCACTGTAAGAATGGAACTTTTTATTTTGGCAAATATTAATTTTGACTTTATAGAAAGTCGTTTATATCTTGTTTATCAGGAAAAAATATATATTTTATATTAACAACTGATTTATGGTTTTACAGTAAATCAAGAGGATTTTGAGTGTTAACAGAAACCTTAGCTAAATTGTCTACCTGCTGTTTTATGTTTCTTTAACCATGTTTTTTGTGTTATTGTGTTATTTTTAAACAGTATTCAACTGTTTAGTATCCATAACAGTTGAGTTTCATGTGAAGATAAATTGAAGTTAGAAGTGGATCAGAAATAAAAACCTAAGACTGTTCAACTTTTATTTCACTGCTTTGGAGATATTGAGTACAAATAAAATATGTTTGGTTAGAAATTATACCTCGAGTTTCTGATTGAATTTGCAGAAACGTGATTCTTTACACACTATGGGTAACCAAAATAACGTTACACAATAAAAAAAACTCATTCCCTCCACAGCCCACGTCAAATGTCATAATTCTTATTGCAGGTTTTATTTGAGTGAGTCAGTTGTGAGTCATGGAGAAATCAAGTTTCACACCCAAATTAATCATTTGGAAAATACATTGTTAAACAAGAGTTCAACCTCAAGTCAACAGGATGCAATTGCTTTCATTGTTCCTTAGAGTAGCATTTCCTTAAATAGTTCATATTTATTTATTTAATATTCTCATTGTATTCTTATTGCTGTTTCATTTAGTCCTGTGTTGGTATTAAACATTCTTATTAATAACAGTTATATGCTACTCTGTTTTCAATGGGAAGATGAGTTAGTATTGTTTTTATTTTAGTTTTGTGAAGCCCTTTGAGTAGAAATTGCTATATAGGTGAAAAAGCTCATTGATAAAAAAAAAAAGGCTTATCAGGAGGAGACTGTGAGCTTATCTTGAGCGGATTTCATAATAAAAGCTTGTTTTCTTGTTTTGTTCTTTAAGGACTTTTACACTGATAAGAAATAATGATTTCACCTACTTGACATTTCCCCAAAGTGTTTATGAAATGAGCTCTGCGGTCTGAATTGAACCATTGTGAAAAATGTTATGTAAATCGACATGTTTTTCCCTTCAGTTTCCACATTCCTCAATGCCAGGAAGGGGTGAGTCGTTCCTTTGTTTCTTGGAGGCACTGGGTGGCATTCGACATATTTACAGGACTGTCTCAGAAAATTAGAATATTGTGATAAAGTTCTTTATTTTCTGTAATGCAATTAAAAAAACAAAAATGTCATACATTCTGGATTCATTACAAATCAACTGAAATATTGCAAGCCTTTTATTATTTTAATATTGCTGATTATGGCATACAGCTTAAGAAAACTCAAATATCCTATCTCTAAATATTAGAATATCATGAAAAAGTATACTAGTAGGGTGTTCAACGAATCACTTGAATCGTCTAATTAACTCGAAACACCTGCAAGGGTTTCCTGAGCCTTGAAAAACACTCAGCTTGGTTCAGTAAACTAAATCACAAGAACCCTTGCAGGTGTTTCGAGTTAATTAGACGATTCAAGTGATTCGTTGANGATGTACATGTACTTGGCTGCTGGGATCGTGCCGTTCATCATCATAGCCATAATCATATCTGTAGTATTGATGCGTGGGTGTGAAGGTGAGATATTGAATAAATATGCCATACAGGAAATCATTGTCCTTTTATGAACAGTGACTAATCACCCAAACATTTCATCATGCAGGCGAATCAAAGAACGAGACGCAAGCTGAAGTCTAGGTAAGACAAGGATACATTTCAACCCCTTTCATACGTGCAATGAAACTGTGGAATTATACTTTCCCCGAAGCGGATTTGTTGGAGTAATGTCCAGTTTAGCCCAGATGTGAATAAATAGACTTGCTCACCTTCTAAGTGGAAAGAAAACAACTACCCGTAAGGGCCGATGCTGAAATTGTCAGTAAAATTCAAGGCACAGAAAGAGTCAGTGACTTTGGGACCATGTTGTGCCTTATGCACACTGTCAGGATGCGTGGAAAAGGTAGGACCCAAAAGAAAAAAATATATGGTATCTACTGTTGTTAGGGCCACTATTTATTGTATTGTGCTCTCTTAAAAATACAGCTGATACTGAGAATGGTAGAGTAGCAGCTGGGAGTTAATATTAAATAATAAAAGCTGTGGCAGTATCCAAAAACAAATGAACCGACATGGAACACAGGGGAAGACTAAATACACAGAAGGGTAATCACAGGACAAGACACAGCTGGGCAGAGGAGGGAGAAACACAAGCGCAACAGGTGAACACAATGAGACAATCAGACACACCAGGGGAACTAACGACAGGGAGGAGGACCAGACAAAACACAAGGAGGAAGACAAAACACCGAATGAACAGACTTACAAAACCCATAACCAGACAGACAACACTAAAACCGTGACATAAACCTAGGAGTGTGACAGAACCCCCCCCCTCAAGGGACGGATCCCAGACGTCCCAAAAAAAAAAAGTCCAGCAGGGTGGGTGGAGGGGAACTGGAGGAGGGACACATAACTAGGGCCAAGAATGGGTGGGTGGAGGGGGTCTGGAGGACGGGTCTCGGGCGGACGGCCAGGACATAGGGTTGGCAGGACCCCCGGCAGAAGAGTGGTCTGCGGGACCTCCAACGGCACAGGACATAGGGTTGGCAGGACCCCCGGCAGAAGAGTATAGTCGGCGGGACCTCCAACGGCACAGGACATAGGGTTGGCAGGACCCCCGGCAGAAGAGTAGTCTGCGGGACCTCCAACGGCACAGGACATAGGGTTGGCAGGACCCCCGGCAGAAGAGTAGTCTGCGGGACCTCCAACGGCACAGGACATTTGAGAAAAAGGCTTTAAACCAATGTTATCTTTGAGACATATTTTAACAAAATAAATGCTTTTTTAATGTTTGCAGTACATTGCAATCCCAGCCAAGCAACCCATACCACACGGCAGCCTCCAGCCCTCGCCAAGAAGAATTTAATCTGTGCCTCCATCTCAAAGACCCTTGTGGACAAAAATAACCAAGAAAAAATGCAAATGACCTTCATTGTTGTTGTTTTTTTATATATACTTAATTTTGTATGTCTTGTAAATTGCACTGTTTAGGAAAATGCGATCTAAGTTTTTCATACTTTACACCGTAGTTGTGTGTATGTTATGTCAAACACCTTTAAATCTCTTGAAGTATGCTTTAAAACCACCAAATCTGAAAAACCAATTCACTTTTGTGAGACTGACCGTTAAACGGCCCGACCAACCAAGGAGGCAGAGGCAGAACGTCTAAAAATATAACCCGACGTGGGCATTTATTAAAATAATGTGCACAAAGTTCACAGCCTCAATCCTGCTTTTCTCCGTGAACACATCCTGCAGCCACAAAGATCTCACACACTACCAGCCTCTAGAAAACAGCACCTAAATACACACACTGACTAACAAGACACAGGTGAGGGGGAGCAATTAGACACAGGTGAGGGGGGAGGAGACAACACAGGGCACCAGGTGCACACAATCAGCAACAGACATGGGGAAAGGGGAAGTTGTCGTCAATATACCTATTAAAACAATGATTAGCCTATATAAACATGTCCACGTGAGCTCTAGTAACGGCGTCCCGTCGTTACAACTTTATTCACAGTTTTACTGATTTGTGTAAATCAATGCTTGGCTTTATTATTATATTTTGTATTGTTATGGTAAATCATTTGGAAATTATTACTTTGCTTTTCATTGACTTAAAATGTATACATTGACAACATAAATTACATTTCTTCATAATGATGTGTTTCCTGTCATAAATGAATATATAAAGAGTGTTGATGTTGCCTTTAAGCTGTACACATGAACAATGAAATGTCCCATTTGTCTAGATCTGTGTGTGTGTGTGTGTGTGTGTGTGTGTGTGTGTGTGTTCAAGTAGCCTTTCTTCTTGCCTACAGTATCAGTTGTGCTTTTGGTAGTAGAAAGTCTGTAGAAGGGTAAACAGGAAGCAGAATTGAAACCAAACGACACATAAACATCGGTAAAGGCTATAGATTTCTGCTAGTAAGCTAAATTAGCTACTTGTTTAGTTTAAAAACGACGGTGAAAGTTAGCTTGCACATTCCTATTAAAAGAACATTAAGAAAAAAAAAAACATTAAATCATTAACTGCAAGTTTTTGCTCACCAAACAATTATTTGTTGAATGTTGGTGCTAATTGTGTTAGCATTGTTAGCATTTTATTGAATGTATTCCAATGTCATTATTCAGTATTACTCACTGCTAACAAACAGGTGTTTAAGTACATGTATGTTTGGAGCACAAACCATTGTGTTGTTTTGATTTTACCTCAAGCTAAGATCCACTTGAATCCAGGAAATGGTACCTTTCACTTCAGACTGAAACCAGCCAGTGTCAATAAAAACTGAACCTGAAATTACCACAGGCCCCCTCGTGTGAAGAATAATTCTGAAAGTAATAAATCATTTCATTTCTACAACAATAAAAACCTTTTAAAGACAATAATATACATAAGATATTTGTGGTGACCACTGCCACTCAATATCACAGATTGCTCAACTTGGTCTCCACAGGAGTAAAGCTAGCAATAACTAAAGACAATTAAAATAACAATTTAAAAAAGATTGGCCTCATTTAAGTTTATAAAATGTACCTCCAATAAGCTCGACACCTAGACACAATATTTATATAATAACATAAGCCACATATTGATTCCAGTGAACATTTTGTGGCAACAAAGCTGTAACCACACTGATTGTCTGATAATGTTTTTTAAGCTTTTATCATGAATACAATCTGTGTAAAGGGAAAGTACCAGCTGGTTAAATAGATAAAAACATGATAAAAATAGATTTATTGAAAGGCTGCGAGTGAAGCACATGGAGGAGCGTGGCCTGTGGGACGTGCTACTCTGTGGTTTTGAAAGTGCTACAAATCTCAAGTACTTTGCTCCATTGCGTGCACACACAACCACTTCTGACTAACACCCCACCCAACAACTGCATCGCCCACCACCATGTCACATGCAGGTAGAGAGAGACTTGTTGCCCGTTTAGTGTACAACAACTGTGTTGATGGGTTTGCTTCAAGCTTTTATTAAATGCCAATATCTTTAACAGCTGTGCTTTTTTCTTTATTGTGTTATTTTGGGGCAGTGTATTGCAAGTGGAGAATAGTGTATAACATTATTATGCATCACATTAATGCGGTGCAAGTAATAAAAACGATTCTGATTCTGAAACACCTTTGAACAAGGGTGAAACTTAATTAAACATGGCCGCCATCTAGTGGTGTACCAGCAAAACTCTGGCTTATGTATTAAAAAGGCAGATATTTTATAACTGTACTGAAACAAAGCCATACATAATTTTTACTATTTCCTGTCACTGTGCCTCCATTAACCCTGAAATTAATAATCCAACATAGGAAACCTAGTTAGCACGGATTCCTCCACATAAGCCTCCATTTTTAAATGAATAGTCAATCTGTGGCTTCACTGATAGCAGTCAATATACAGGACTGTCTCAGAAAATTAGAATATTGTGATAAAGTTCTTTATTTTCTGTAATGCAATTAAAAAAACAAAAATGTCATACATTCTGGATTCATTACAAATCAACTGAAATATTGCAAGCCTTTTATTATTTTAATATTGCTGATTATGG